CTACCTCCACACACAACTCTACCCCACATTTGAGGTACACGCAAGAACCCTTTAATGGTCCAGTGACTCACAAGCTGTCACGCCCATTCTTGAGAAGACCTATGTTCCTAGCACTCTGGAGGTGGAGGCAGGACGATCATGATTTCTGGGCCATCCTGTCGTGCTTATCCAGAAAATAACCAACAAAAGCCCTGTCCCCAAGTACCCACCTGAAGTAGATAATTGGTGCATGGCACAAGATTCACGTGACTGGCTCAAATACAGAATAGTTTTTCAGGGAGAAATCACTTACATGCCATGCAGATGATGGCTCCAAGTCCCTGCTCCAAGGATCCACACCGGCTGCTGTCCGTGACCCAATCAAGAGCAAGAGGGCAAACCTGTCCCAGAGCCCAAGCCAAATACCACACGCTCACCTACGCTCACCTGTGACCACGCCCAAAGACACCCTATTAGTGCAGTAGGTGCTAAATAGGCAAACAATTCTGTTTCCACTAGAGTCTGCTTGATCATAGTCTAGCTGAGGTCTACACCTCTGTAGGTGGGAAACAAATTCTAGTTACATTTGGCCAAAACATAAATAAACCAGGCAGAGTGGCAAGCGCCTGTAATCCAGCACTTGAGCTGTGGGGACAGAAATTCCAAGTCATCTTGGCTAAAGGGAATTTGAGGTCATCCTGAGCTACACGAGACCCCGTTTAAAAAGGCACAGTAAGTGGGACAACGGCCTAATTTCTTGAGTGTCACACAAAAACTAAAATATACATTTCCTGATGTGCAAATGCACGTTTGTGAAGTGTTGGGGATGGGTGATATAAAGATCTCCGTGGTGAATCATGAATGAGGCTTGAAAAACCTGTCAACTCAAGTCTCACATTTTGTGTATCATCTAAAGTTTTGAAAAATGTCCCACAGGACTGAGTCACTGGAATGTGTTTACAGCTGAGGACCAGGATGAGACTAAAGTTGACAGAACACTCTCCTGGGATGAATGCCCTAGGTTAGCATAAGCCAGACCTGGCGGCAAATGTCTTGTAATTCCAGCACCGAGGATGTGCAGGCAGAAATAAAGGAAGGTTGAGGACATCCTTGACTATGAGGGAGTATGGGGCAGCCTAAGCTACACAGGGTTTTAAGCTAGCCTGGGTTACATAAGACACCGTTTCACCAAAAGAAAAAGGGCATTGCATTAGAATGCTCGCCATATCATCAAGGGCCATTTGAAATATCCAGGCCAAGCAGTGGAGTGAAGGTCAGAAGCCATTCTTGGCAAAAATGTAAATGTTGAGCTTGAATGATCTGGAGTATCTGAGTGTATATAAGGCTAGAAAATGCTAGAACACAGTAATTAGAAGAAGTGATCATCACATTTACGGACTACATGGTCCCTGATGACCTCATCAGGAGACATCCAGTGAGCATGGTGGTGGGAGCAATCCCAGGCACGTCAGGAAGCTGAGTTTCAAGTGTGGAGAATTGGAGTAAGAAGATGTGGTGGAAGAAGGCACCATCAGCACCAACTTTGTGACAAGGGGGTGGCTTGAATGTGGAATATGATGAGGGAAGATCCAACCAATTGAAGAAAGAAAGAAGCTAATGGATGCTGGGTTCTGTGGGCAATATGATAGCCATGAAGCCTACACCATGTCTTCAGAATCTGGATTCACCTCTACTTTCAGTTCCTGAGAGACACAAAGCCATTCTCGGAGGGAAAGGCTTAGGGAACCGACGAACCAGGTCTCCTTAATGGACTGGCAGCACCATTCCTCTCCATGGGCGTTGCATCCCTCGTCACACGGGCTGGGGACCTGCAAACCACAACAGGTCTGAGCCCACACCCCAGAAGCTAATTTCTGAAAATGCTAGCCATCTCCATAAGATGGAGTTCACGATGCTCACCTTGGACGACAAAGCCACTTTCCCAGGAGGGAGCAGCCTTGAAGTTACAGCATGCTAGTTTCCATTTGTCATCCCTCTTTCGGGACAAGTGGGAAAGACCCAGGTAAAGGTGAGCACCACCCATACCCGTGCCTCAGACCCCGGATCTTCCCACCATAGGTTCCCCTCAGCCTGGTCCTCTCTTGACCCCCTACCTAGCCCGAGACCACCTCAGAGTGCTGTTTCTCTAATCTACGGTCTACGTCCTTGACTTTGAACTGCAGACCCAGAAACACTAAGGGCACCTGTGCACTGAGCCAGCTTCTCCTGTCCTCAGGATCACGGCAGCCGGTGGACACCTTTTCATCCTCAGCTTCACTCTGGCCGTCATGAAAGAGTAACTAAGGGTTCTTCTTCACTTCCCTCTGGCAAAGCTGACCAAGTATGTTCTTGATGTACTCCATCACCCCAAGTCAATTTCCCTGAACTTCTCAGAGACACTAGTGTTTTCTGCTTTCATCTCCAACCCTGACTGCCCCTGGGATGTGAGGTGACGGTCCTGGGCATATGTGGGCCCTGGCCTCCAAGTGTCCCCTATCCCTTCCACACATGTCCCTCGTACTCAGAGCAGCCGCCTGGACCGGAACCCATCACCTCTAGGTATTTTCATTCTTGCTCCACTGTGAACCCAGGGTACAGGCTTTTTTCTTTTTCCTATGTCAGCATCTAACACAATTGCTGGCTCACGGCAGTCAATGTGTTCAGTGAACTTGTAACGCCTACCTATTTCTGCACACATCCCACAATTTTAGTAGAGCCAGAACTCTTGATAGGGTAAGACACCATGATGCCCTAGCTCTTGGAGCAAGATTACACAGCATTTCTCAAGAACAAACCCAAAGCAGCTCAGGGAACGGGCCAGCTCCACAGGCAAGCCACCCCACTGTCCCATGGCTAACCTGGTGACTCTTGATGCCAGGCCTGGGCTGCACTCAGCTGAGGAGGACCCCCAACCTCAAGGCTGAGAACCCCAGACCTTTCGGGCCACGATCCATTGTGTCAGCTTTGGAAACATAGCCCTCTCCTCTGCCTCCCCAAGTCCCACCCTTTCCCTGTGGCTCTGGAAGAGTCCAGAAGGTGGAGGGTGGCATAGGAGTTAAATGGGAGGGACTGTTCTACTGCCAAGTGATCCAGATCCCCGTGCCTTTTAGACGTTCACTCTGATGTCTGATGACCTAATGTGGGATCCCACACACCCTCCTCAGGCGGAAAGAGCCATTGCTGTTGTCCGAGCATTTGCACACCCAAGATGCGCACACTGAAACTTATCCCCCACTGTAGTGACCTAAAGGGGCCTCTGGGTGGGTGGGATCAGTGCTCCACGATAGAGGTGGCAGGAGGTGCTCCCTTCTACCTAGGGATGATGCTGCAAAGCCTTCCGGTGAGACAGAGCTAGCTCCAGTCTCTGATGCCTTGTCCCGATTTCCCACCACCCAGAACCGGGAGCAGCGAATCTACTATTAAGTGATCACATGCTCCTGCATCCCTAAAGGACTCCCTAGAAACCACCCTAGGCCTTGCCTCAGTTCAGAGGAGGTACTGAAAAGTACAGCTACAAGCAAAAGCCACAATTTACATTTCAGTCTGCTAGTCCTCTAGTAGTATTGACCTAAAAAAAAAAGGTGGGGGACTTAGGGGACTTACGTTGACTGACACCATTATTTCATCATCATTTCAGTGTCTGTGTGGGTGAGAGACAGACAGACAGACACACAGAGACAGAGACAGAGAGAGACACACAGAGATACAGAGACACAGAGAAAGTGAGTGACAGAGACACAGAGAGACTGAGACAGAGACAAAGAGAGAGACAGAGTGAGAGACAGATACAGAGAGAGACAGAGGCACAGAGACAGAGTGAGTGAGAGAGACAGAGACACAGAGACAGAGAGAGACAGTGAGTGAGACAGAGACAAAGAGAGACAGAGTGAGTGAGAGTGAGAGACAGATACACAGAGACAGAGACACAGAGTGAGTGAGAGAGACAGAGACACAGAGAATGAGAGAGAGGTGGGGTGGCCATGTTAACTCTTGTGCCACATCAGGGAAATGGTGGTCATTGTCACTGGCTGGTCTTCCCCCCATAATCCCCAACAGCCAAGGAAGTGCTCCAGGCAGCCAATGGCTGTGTGCGTGTCCTTTGTGCTGTGGGGCTGCTTTCCTGGGAGACTAGGGTTTCCATGCAGAATAAGGGAAATGTGTGTCTGGGATGTGAACCCTGGAGCATCAGCAAGTCTGATATCTAGTCAGCTACTGGTGAAGCATGGGGCTCTGGGCTGAGCTTGGCTTTGTCACATCTCAGGGGCTGCCCTTTGAAGACTTGCTATTCCCATCTTCTCAGTCCACATCTCGTACGCTTATGAACCAGCCATTCAATGGCAGGGAGGTCCAGAGCAGCCACACGTCTCACCTAAATCAACGTGGGCTGTACCTGAGGCCTCTTAGGAAATCCCTCAAAAATGGCAATCCACCTTGAAGCTCAGGAGTACACGAGAGCGAGGCTGCCCTTTTTCACGCCGTCAAAAGCCGTTGCCGAGTACTTGTTCATCCTTTTCCAAGGCACAGAGATGTACAGGTACATCTTTTACTTTCAAGACATACCTTTTAGTTCAACATCTGATGGCCAAATTTATTATTACCTACTCAGAGAGTGAAAGGCCCTAGGCCACCAGATGCCCAAAGTCTGGTGCAGAGACCCACCAAGGCTGCCAGCTACCAGATTCTCTCCCCCACACTCCATATGTCTCCCACTGCATCAAGAGATTGTCGGACTTGGCTGCAATAATTAAAACATGGTGTTCACACAGTAGAGGAGAAGGTGTGTAGCAAAAAAATAAAGTAAAATGTAAAAAGGCTTTTCACTAAAAACAAATCAAAAAAAAAAAAAAAAAAAAAAAAAAGGCATATCCTAGAATCCACATATGTGGGCAGGGGACTGACCATTTGGCAACTTTTCAGGTGAATCATCCCGTGGCTTGTTGTAAAACTGTACAAGTAAACAATAGTAACATTTAGGCTTACATTCAGCCAATAAAAAGAAATAAATGCCGGTCAAGACAGGCTGACAAATAATGTAAGCCACCTTCTGAAGGAGGGGCAAGTATTTTACAACTCCAAGATGTTTTTATTTATTTCAAATTCCAATAGAGTGAATATGTTTTATCTAAATATCTTTTTATCACACAGCTGTAACATTGAATTTTTTTTCTCAGAAATAGTTAAATACATCGATCTAGTTACAAATTCTAATATAAAGAGTACAAAATATAGCATTATAAATTGTATATTTAGAAAGAAATACAAACTCTTCTGCTTCTTCTGCATCTTACCGCCTCAAAGACTAATTAGTGAAGTTGGTGTAGAAGGAACATCTGCTTGGTGATCACTCCTGCACGCATGTCCCCGGAGCTCTGCAGTGTGTAGTCACCAGGGTTGTGGGAGGCCTTGTTTGCATGGACTTTTTTTCCCTTAGTTTTCTGTCTTTCTCTCGGCAAATGAAAGTTACTATTAGAAGTTGCTAGATTCGTAAGCATTAAAGAGTGAATCGTGTTCTGGCAGGGAGGGGTCTTGCCTTATGTAAGTCGGCCGAGTTCCTCCTTCCTAGAGAACGGCACCCACTGTCATCTCACCAGAGAGTAGCGGCCACCCTCCTGGCTCCACACGGCAGCCCCGGAGATGGCTGAGGCAGAGCAGCTACCTGCTGTACTGCACAGGGCACCTGGAAAGTGTGTGACTTCAGGCCCAGCGCCTCATAGCAGCCCACCAGGAGGGGCGGCCCTGCAGCCCACTGGGATGCTGGCCTTTTACTTTTATAGAGTGACCTTATACAGCTGCCCTGTAACCCTGATGTTCAGAAACCAGTGTCTCTCTGGACTTAAAAAATAAATAAGTAAATATGGGGAAAACTTCTTTAAGATATCTAATATTTTCAGAAACAAAAAAGTCAAAGTCGGCTTGCCTTGGAAATTGTACTCTGTGTGGGGGACAGGGGGGGGGGAAGGGGGGAGGCTGACCTGTCTCCACCTAAGAGACCGAACAGATTTCCAAGGGCCAGCAGAAGTGTGGACAGGTCCAACTCCCCAGGGGTGGGGAGGGGATCGTTAGAATCCACTCGTTTATTATTTGTGACTTTAAAATCTTCGCTCTCTGAATTAGGACAGATTAAGTCCCCTAAAAGACTCTGAGAAACTGTGTGTGTGTTATCTGCATTTGGAATGAGGAGGGACACAGAAGAGGTGGACGGAGCGAGGCAGGGAGTGAGCAGCAAGGCAGAATCAGAAACAGCGAGGGAGGAGGTTGGGCCGGGAGACACACAGAGCAGCTGCCGTGCAGATAACCAAACCCTTTATTGTCTAAGTTACATTAGACGCAACACTGTAAAAATCCCGTTAGGAAAGAAGGAGACAGCAGATCCGTAGAGGTAGTAGGAAGTCTGTAACAGTCAGAAATGCGGAAATTATCACAGGGGAAGCAAATCAAAACAGGTTGGCTAAATAAATAAGAAAACATAAAATCATATTAAATACTAAAATGAATTAACAAACCAGTCCAATACTGATGGCCGGTGGGACAAAGAGGCCATACACCCAGGCCAGCACACAGCTGGTCCCAGAGGGAGTGTGAGCTGGGGGGAAGGGGGACGGCCTTATGGCTACAGGAAAACTGCTATCTCTGTGCTTTGAGGACAGGTCATCTTCACAAAAACACTGGCTGTTGTCCTGGCTGCTCTTCAGACAGACACTCGGTTGCAGGGACCCCACACGCCTCTGCTCTTCCCTCAGACCAACTGGGAAAGAGACCCACTGGAAGACAGACCCTTCCAGCTCTCAATGCCAAGTGCAGTTATGGACACAGTAAGAACGCAAACAACACCTTTGTGTCCCTTTGTGTACAGAACTCTTTTTAATAACTAAAACACAGAAATAGATAGAGCCAAATCCCAGGCCCCTGCACATTTCTGACTGTCACCTTCGCTTTCAGCCAAGAAAACATAAAAGCCAGAGAATGCAGAAGTGATGGGAGGCAACAATCAAAATGATCACACACGAATCAACAGAAAGGGGTTCTGCTGCTGCAGGCGGAGAGAGGAATGTGTCTGCGACACGCTCAAGGTGACGTCTCAGAACCATCGACATTCCCAAGCACTCGGACACGGCAAGCCGTTCTCATACATACCTGGTGTAGGAGTATCAGGAAAAAAATAGGTAAAAAATAATAATAATTATATATATACACATACATGTATATATGCATCTGCTAGACAGTTAACATTGCATTGTTTGCAAGTGTCGCAGTCGCCTGAATGGTCAAGTAATTAAAACAGTAACAAGTAGAATCCAGAATCAAACATTAGCTAACAATAACAATAACAATAATAATAATATAATAATAATAATCCAACAGATCATTAGAACAAAGAAACCACACGCCAGGGATCATGTATACATGTGTGTTTAAACAAGTCTTTGTATCAGAGGCCCATTTCCTACAAAAACTGCACTGATCCATTACCGTGTTAAGTAAACGGTCTCTCTCACCAGTATTAAAGGTTAGGATAATTTCTGTACATGTAAAATTATTGCTTTTTTTTGAAAAATATATTTAGCATGCTCATCTTAATCCATTTCCTGCCTTTACAAAATTTCACAATAAAAAAAAACTAGTAAAGCTTTTGCAAAAAATTTCACAGAACGTTTTTTTCATTCAAGGCAGCAGTAACTTCTGATAATGCATAAAATCATATGTGCAAACATCTGGAACTTGCAGAAGTATCGCCATCACACACAGTGTCACAGCAACGGGGAAAGGAAACGCTGCTACCTGCGGAATACGGTTCCGAACACGCACGCTGCGTGGGTTCAGAGACTCTGCTAGGGCCTTCACCCCACCACAGAAACGTGAACTTGCGTGACTAAGGAAGAGGTATATAAAGCCGTCCTCACTCTCAGGCCCTGGTGCCCTCCCACGGATCCGTGAACGGTCACTCGTCCAATGGTGGCCACCAGGCCCAAGCGGGAAAGACATCTATTTGCTGGGTTGGTGCAGGGAAGAGGTTGGGATGGGAAGGGAGGGAGGGAGCAGAAGGCTCCAGAGCACTAGCACCCTAAAGATCTAGGGCCCCCAAACTGCTCAAGGATTCTTCTGCCATCACTAAAACAGGCCCAAATTGGGAGGATTCAGTGGCTTAATCTGTTAAGACGTGTAGTCTTCTCTTGTGAGCAGTTTGCAGAATGTAGCCCTGTTACAGAAAAGGTCCTGAGAATAAACAAAGACGCCTGCTCTTCTTAGTGTTCTACTAACTCTCCTTTGCCCAGAGCAGGGTTGTGTGTGTTCTCATCTCTGCCGTGTTTCCTGTGCCAACGCAGCCCAAACGGTGAAAACACAGAGAGCGTGAGGGTGACATGAGAGGCTCAGAGGGGGTCACGGCCAGACCTCTGAACTGTGAGGACCTGTCATCCATCACCCTGCCTTTCCGAGCCCGAGCACCACCAAGCCTCACCGCTCCTGAACGCCACCCTCGGTCTTACCTGCTACTAAATACCCACCGAGGCAGGGAGAGGCAGTAGTGTGGACCCTCACAGCCTCCACACCCCATGCCCAGTGTCAACTGTACTCCTAAGCACCGGAGCGCCTCCTACAGTGCTTAGTTCTTCACTCCATCCAAAACACACCATCACCTTTTTTTTTTCCAGTGTCTCACGCTTGTCTTGAGGATACAGATGCCTTGAGCTCCCACCGAGCCTGCCGATACCACTGCTTATCATGAGGAGAACACAGGCCGTGGCGGATGAGCACAAACGTGTGTGAAAGAGCTACACGGAATTCTAGGCATAGCATCTTCGCTGTCCCTAAATGTCATCAAGGGAGGCATCTAGCGCAGCTGCTCCCTTGGTCTGCTCTAGCGCAGCGGCTCCCGGGTCTAAGGTAGTCTGGTTAGGAGACTCTGGCTCTTCCTCCCCAAGGTGGCCATGGTCGCTCCTGGGAGCCTTCCGATGGCCCGTGAGGCCACTGCCAACGCCATCACGGGGCCGAGCGCTGGAGGCGTGTCTCTAGGTCCCCTTCCGGAGGGGCTCCGCTGGCACAGTCCCTGTATGGTCTCTCCCCTGCAAAAAGAAAGAAAATGGCAGGCAAGCTCAGTTGTCTTCCAGTCCCAAGAGCATTTACCACATTAATTTCCTTAGCAGAACCCAGAAACACAGGGCGCCCTTCACCAAGCAAAGTGGCAGAGGCAACCAAGGCCTCTGGTTTCAGGGGCAGCTCATTTTACACCAGCACGAATACTTTGCTTCCACCCTTCCATGGAGGCAGCACTAGAACCCCCTCCCCAGTGGAGCAACCCCCCCCCCTCCGGGTGTTAGCATCCCTGGCCTCAGGGAGCAAACAGCAATGGTGGGCTTGGCTCCGGGCGAGGCTAAAAGCCAGTCAGCAAAGGGAGAGGAATGGAGTTTTGAAAAGCACACGTCTATGGTGCAGATTCCCAGGCGAACAACAGCGCTTCCGGGTGAGCAAGCCTGGAGCCACACAAACAAAAGGAAGGCCCATGGTGCCCACATCGATCTGTGGCCCCACTGTGTCCAAGCAGAAGAGCTGTGCTGTAAGCCCAACGAACAGAGACAACTGGCAGCACAAATGTGAGCCTGGACGGGACTACCGTGGCCGTGGGCACACCGGTGTTTAAATGACATATCCCGGCTGAGGACAAAATAGAGTATCGAGGCGGATCTTCCTGCGGTGGGTTGAATGGGTATGACCTACATAGACTCCTGTGCTTCAGTGCTTGGCCCACGGGGAGGGGCGGGCACAGCTAGGAAGTGTGGCCTTGCTGGAGTAGGTGGTGTGTGTCTGTGGGAGCTGACTTTTGAGTTCTCATCTGTGCTCAGGCTGCGCCCACTGCGGCTCACATTGCTCCCGCTGCCCGTGGATCAAGACGCAGGATTCTGAGCTCCTTCTCCAGCACCGCGTCTGCCTGCGTGCCGCCACGAAGACAATGGACTAAACCTCTGAACTGTAAGCCAGCCCCAATTAAATGTTTGCCTTTATAAGAGTTGTCATGGTCATGGTGTCTCTGCACAACAGTAGAAACCCTAACTAAGACACCAACAACCACTTGAAATTAACATGCACCCACATACCACACAGCTCAACGGAAACGCTAGTCTCCAGCCAGGTCTACGGGAACCCTAGAAACTCACAGGAAGTGAGATAGTTGGCATCGTGAATTTAATATTCTAAATCTTTAGCTAAGATTTTCAAAACAGTACTAAAAGCTGGCCTTGCGCACAATGTCTACTGGTCAATGCCCAGTAGAAACCAGAAAGCTTATCCAAGAATGTATGAGACACAAGGCAAGTGCAGAGCAGTAGCCTGTGGCCGATCTGAAATGCCAAAAGTAGCATCATGTAGAGACGTTAACAAACCCACCCTTAGGTGGCATGTGCTGTAGACCAGTAGAGATGACTGCCATTGTTGCATAGCAATGATGCATGGCAGAGATCTCCGTGGACATCCAGCCACATCAGGACTCACTGGGACCACGTTTCTAGGCATGCTTACATAGGAACAGAATACTCTGAGCTTCCCCAAGAAATGAGCTATGATTCTGGGTGTTTGGCCTTGAATGTCCCTCATAAACACTTGCCTATAGCAAACATACTGCCAGAGGCTCCAGGACGGAGGAGGCTGTCATGAACAAGGCTGTGGTGGTGTGTGAATCTGGAGTCTGCGTGGACTGCTGCACAACAGCCCCCAGGGAACACCTGTGACGGGGTAGAGGGAACAGGGATGGCCCTCCACCAATGAAGGCTGAACACTGCATGGCTCAGAAAGTTTTCAAATACTCATCCCAGCTTTGCAAAGCCCGAAAATCCACAAGGCACTTGCTAGGATGTGCCGGCGATCACTGCAGGGCTGGCATCTCCCTTCCTCTGTAGTGAGGACATGCTAGAGTTTACATGCCTCACTCACTCCAGATCACTGGTTCATCAGGACACCAATGACGACACCGTGAAGACGGTACCCCTTGCAGGGATTCAAAGAAATGCATCGAACAAGGAAAAGAGGTCTACAGAAACAATATAAAAATGTGCAGATCGCTTCCTCCACCGAGGAGGCCGCAGCCAGGACATGGGAGCAGGCTCTGGGGACACCGGATCTGCTGGTCACAGTGAGATGAAGTTGAGCCAATGGGAATACTATCACTGTTTAGGTATTCTAAGGGCTGGGCACCGACTCTGAAACCAGGGGAGGTCAATTTTCCCTTCCTCCCTCCCTTCCTTCCTTTCCCTTCCTCCCTCCCTCCTTCTCTTCTTTCTTCCTTTCTAAGACAAGGGACCAAACTATACAGTCATGGGGGTCTGTTCTTGACATACACACAAGCCCAAAGGACAAAGGGTACACAAGAAAAGCCACGGAGCAAGGCGTGAGGGCGCTAAACACCTCAAGGACCTTGGTCTTTGCCGTCAGTCAGCAATGACAAGGTGAAAAAGTCTGCAGTTACATCTGGTAGAGCATTAGAGAAAACAAACGACGTTTCGAAGATGCCCGTTTGATTTTCTGAATAAAGGCGTCAATTTGCATTAGCTATCTGAGCCGTGATGCCAAAATTCTACAAGCACACTGGTGAGGAGGGACCAGGATACAGACCTGCCCAGTGCCGTCCACTGCTCAGCTGCCCAGGGTGAAAAGGAGGCAGGAGCATTGCCTTTCTCTTTTTATACTCCTTGTTAGTTTGATGAATGGAATTATGTCTCCAGCTTAACTATTTTACACTAAATATAGAATGATGAAGAATAAACTATTAATCATAGTCTTTAAATCCTGACAGTAAATCCAAACAAATCAAAACACTGCATTTCACGTTACAGCGAAACTGTGAACTGGGGTGGGGGTGGGGGGGTGGGTTGGGTTGGTTTCAAAAGTTCTTGTAACTTCTCTTTAAAGTATTTTACTACATCTATGTAGTCACAGTGTGCGTGCATGTGGGTATGCACACTACGGTGCATGTGTGGGGGCCAGAGGCCAATGTGGGGGAGTTAGTCAGCTCCTTCCAGGCTTCATGTATGACTCGGGTCCTCCTTGGGCATGGCAGCAGGCACTCTCAGTGTCCTGGGATGGCCTGCCCTCCCCATCAGGCGGCTTCACTTGAATGCCCTTCCACTGAGGAGAAAACGGCTCCTCAACTCAAGGCCAAGGCCCTTCATGGTTTCCTAAGTTTGTGTTTTTATTTTGTTTTCTTGCAATAATTGAGAGACGGCAAGCAGTTCAAATAACAGGTCATAGGGCTAGAGCTGCCTTCTGCAAACTCATTCCATAAACCAACCTGTGACTTCCAAGACACAGCCACAAGCCTCTTCCTGCTGGAGATGTGTAGCCATCCCAAAGGAGAGGTTGAGGCCCTGGTTTTTTTGAAGGTCCTGGAATATACACCTATGTTCTGGAACAGGCTTACACAGGACATGTACAGGAGAAGACTACCCTCAGACACATCAGTATGTTAGCTGCCTTCACTCCTCTGAGTTCATGTATGAAAAAGGCCTAAGAGGCTCTCTTTTCTGCACAGATGTAACAGGCAAAGGAGATATAGGGCCAGCATTCCCAGTAAGTAAGCCAAGTCCATGTGGAAACACTTAGATTAATAGAAAAATGTGTTAACAGTTAAGTCATAGCTAACCAATAAGAAGCTCTAGCCATTGGCCAACAGCTTTATCACTAACAGAGTGTGTTATTTGGGGACTGATGCAGCTCTGGGACCAGGCTGGTGGGTGGGGGGGATGCCAGTAACAAAATGGCAACTGTAACACAGATACTAATAACTTCCACTTAAAACTTGACAAAAGCTTAAAAAGAGATGTTTAGAAACAAAATAACAGAGACAGACAAGTCTTCTTGGTAGCAGCATTTTCTCAGGCGGCTATGTTTTGCTAGATTCTGGAGGTTTCCTGACTGAGCACAAGTCACAAAAAAATGTAGGACTCTTTAAAGAGGCCCTGCTATCAACAGAATGGTGTGTATAAGAGCTGGCAATGGCAGTGACCACAGCTCCAAGCCAGCAGCATGCTGCTTGATGGCAGCGTAGACCAAGGCGGTCTAGCTCTCAGTGCTGGCAGTAAATATATCCCCACCATTTTGGATAGACAGGGGCTACAACAGCCATGATGTTCAACTTTAGCAATGTTGTTGTTGAGCAGATAAAAGACTCATGGCTGGAAAAAGGTAAAGATTTATAGTAAAGACAGATTCAGATAAAGAAAAACCTCCAAAGCTTTACAGTGTGTCTAAAAATACGCATAGGCTTGAGGGAGAAAAACAAACAGGATAAAGTGGTTTAACCAAAAAGAAGAAAGGAAAAAAGAAAGTAGCTGGTTGTGGTGACACATGCCTTTAATTCCAGCACTCGGAGGCAGAGGCAAGCAGATCTCTGTGATTTCAAGGCCTGCCTGGTGTACATAGTGAGTTCAAGGGCAGCCAAAGTTACACAGAGAAACCCTGTCTCAAAAAAGGAAATAATAAAGTAAAAGAAATAAAGTAATATAAAAGCCACGTAAAAATGGAAAGTACGCAGAGTCTGGATACTGTGTGCTATTGTGTTCTTTAAATTGCTCAGTTGCTAAGGAAGGAACAACTACTGATAAAACACACTTGATTACCAATGCTGCTGAATTAATCCAATTTATATATTTTAAAAAAGCGTTGACTTCAAAATTTAAGTCTAAGTACAGGTTACTGGGGAAAAGGATTTCTATTTTTGTTTCCACAGAAAATGAAAAGCAGTGAATTCCTTCCAGACTAACATGGTTTGATCAAGCAAGACCCCCTGAAACAGTGTCCCAGGTGATTCAACATTCAAACCAGCTGGAACAAGGCAGCCTTGCAGACTGCAGCCAGGATTTCTGTGTCTTCTCAGGATCCCCATGGTATTACAGAGTCCCCAAACAGCAGGAAGCAGTTTAAAATTCCCAAATATTGTCTATAAATGTTTGTTTTCATTTATATGGGGTTGGTTAGAAATGGTAATGATCACAATCAATCTTTTTAAAGGAAAAAGGGAGAAAATGATATAGAAATGAATACCTTGCATTGGTATGGACTTTCATTTATTGATACAAATTTAAGGTTAATTTTGTGATTTGTAAATTTCTCCTCTTGTTTAGGTATTTTGTTTATATAGATCTTTTAAAATGTCATGCATAATTAAATACAGATTGTATATAATTACCTACAATAGTCAAAACTTACAGCTGTGTTAGTTAGGATTTCTAGATATACAGATATTTGAGATGGATAGTCTTCAAACCTTTCAAAGACCTTCAGAAAATGGCATTTAAAATAGTTTAGGGTTTTTCGTGACTATGGGACACAGCTGCTCCTGGCAAAACCACTTACTTCTGAGAGGAAGATAGGCATGGAAGAAACTTATTATGGAGTTTGCTTTTGATATAGCAGGAGTAGACATTTAGGCAAGGGACTGCTAAATAGTGACTGCAAACCTTGCCTAGATTGTTTGACTGTTGCTGCATAAACTGGACACGCAGGACCCACAGGAAAGTGACTGCTGAACTCCCAAAACAAGATGGACAGTCCTGAAGGGCTCCTGCTTTGTGGAGGAGTCTGCCAGACAGTCTGCAGGACACAGAGAAAAGTGACTGACAAACAGCCAATACAGGCAGACAGTTTAAAATTCCCTGCTTCACTGAGAAATCTGCCAGACACACTACGGCCTATGGGCTGAAGATGGAAGATTACAGAAGAACTTCAGGTGACTGTCCAGGTAGCAAGATGTCTCTGTCATTTCTAGAGTTTATATACTATCCTTCTGTGGTCTTTGATGGAGTTAAAGACAGATAGTTATGGTTATATAGTTTTCCTCAGGACTTAAGTTACATATAAGTTACATATAAGACTTTAGAACTACAAAGATAGGATAGATGATAGAATATTTTCTTTAGTTCTTGATGTAAATGGACTAAATATTGTAATTATAGGTCTTGCTTAATAACTGTTTTGTTTTATGTAATTTTACTATGTTAAAGTTAAAACCCTTCTTTTTATTTAGACAGAAAAGAGGAGATGATGGGAATGCTCTTCTGTATCTATGCTTATCTTATTGGTTGATGAATAAAACACTGATTGGCCAGGCAGGAAGTGACGTAGCATGGCAGATACTGCCACTAGCTGACCATAGAGGTCTGGAGGTCTGTACAGACAGGCAGGAAGTAACACAGCTGGGCAGAATCAGAATATAAGCAGGGACAAACAGGAAATTGCTCTCTTCTCTGCAGAGATGTAGCAGGCAAAGGAGATACAGGGCCGGCAATGCCAGAAAGCCAAGACAATGTGGAAACACTTAGATTAATAGAAAAATGTGTTAATAATTAAGTCAGAGCTAGCCAATAAGAAGCTTAGCCAGTAGCCAATAGCTTTATAACAAAAAAAAAAAATTTAATTAAAAAAAAAAAAAGGCCTGAGAGATGACGGCGTTAAACCAACCACTTCAGAGATCTGATAGATCCCATCTAGTTCAGTCATGTCACCAGAAACTGCAGCTTACTTTCATGTTCTAAATCTGATACAGGAAACAGAAATGTTGATAGGCAAAATCGGTGTGCATTAATTATTTTTCCCAGTGGCTATGTCAAAATACCAGACTAAGTAACTCAGGGAAGGAAGCTCAAGTGTACAGTCTCTCATCCCAGGGAAGTCTTGGCGGCAGGAGTTTCGCACGGCTGGTACACGGCATCCTCCGTGAGGAAACGCAGAGGCAGGGAGGAAGTGAAGGAAGGGTTGGCTAGCAGAAATGCCCCTTGCTGGCTTGCTCTCTACTTTCCATTCAGTCCAGGAACCCCGTCCATGGGACAGTGCTCCCCGTAATCCATAATCCCACCACAGCTAGCCTAATCTAGAAACTCCCTCTCAGCCATACCCAAAGGTTGGTCTCCCAGATGATTCTAGACCCTGTACGCTGACAATATTAGCCATGATAGTTGTTCTGTGGCTGTCTATCCAAAAACCTCAGTGTACCAACTGGCAGGAAGAGGTACCAGGAAACTCCATGTTGGCAGGTTCTCCTGGACCCTCCCTTTTATAAAGACGCATCGACTCGTCTCTCAAGCACAGCAAAATCAGAGCACACCCTGCAAAGGCCGGGCAAAGCGAGGACCAGAAACCCCGGGGCTGTTCCCTAGCGTAAGCCACTACAGACGGTCCCCTGTGGGAATGGGCCTGTCCACACCAGAGACACACAAACAACATGCTCTCACAATGTGAGGGAGTTTTCTTAAGACAGCTGTTCACTAGAATATTTGGTAACGGTGGCTCCCTTACCGTGCGTGTCCTCCATGCCAGGTGTGGGCATCTCCTGGGGACCCCAGAGTAGGAAATGCATCCCCAACTGAGGTATGGGATTAAACTAAAAGCCACTGTAAAACACTAAGGCCTGCACTACTCTGACGTTCCTGGCAACGCAAATGCGCACCTCAGGGCTGGACCCACAACAACACGATGACGGTATCGGATGATCATGAGCTCGACAGTAAGAGCATGGTGGCAGGAAGTCTAATGTGACAGCGTCAAGTTTACAGACAGAGGTGACATCAGCATCCTTCTCTGTCAGGACCACAGGCCAGTTATGTTAATACAAACACCCCATACAAGTAAAGGTAACCCAAGAGTAAGCTAGTGTAAAGTCTGTGACTTTGACCTTCAAGCTCCTGGTTCCATGAGACAAAAGCATGGGAACAAATCGAGAAGGAGGAGGAGGAGAATTAATCCCCGCAAGCAGGCTCACAGTTCTAGGAAATTCTATGGTTACTGGCAGATCTGCCTAGTGCATCCCGCCGGCTCTTTGGTGGCCGGGAAAACACAGTTCATTCCAGCTGTGATGCCCAAGTGTAATCCTCTAGTCACATGACCTTCCTGTCACCCCAACCCATGCATTCTACACAATGGCCCTTCTACAGCAAGCGGCCTGGCCTTTCGTTCCAGCACTAACCTGGCCCAGGAGCAGGCCCTGGGCCGGGAAATCTTCCTACTCAGTATTCGGGAGGGGTTATACTTGTTTTAAGAACTATCACAAAGGAACTGCTTTTTTATTTTTAAGCCACATGTTCTACTGAAATAAGTTAAACTGATCCTCAAAAGTTCCTTGAGGTCTCACTCTAGTGGGGACACAGCGAAAGCCTTAATCCTGTCATCACAGAGCAAGGGACACTTTATGGCCAGGCACACAGACCTGAATCCTACCAGCCAGACGGGGCTTGGGCAGAGGGCAGAGTTTCTGCAGCTAAGACAGAACAGCCAATAACACATGTGATGTGTAAGACAGGGGGAGGGGTAGGGGGGCAGCAGATGGTGACCGATGCCACGTGCTGTCAGCCCAGGGTAACTAACAGAAAGGCAGCCTTGAGCACCCACTCCCCTCAGACCCGGATTATGAACCAGGCACGGCACCGGGCTGTGCCACATCCCATACATAATCACACTCCCACAGGAGAGGCGGTAGAGGACAGGAACACACGTGTGCCAATGCATGAGAGCCTTGTTTCACTGGGTGTCTATACAGCTGTGAAACACCAGCCCAACGTCTTTGACGGGCATCTCCTAAGAGGAATTAGGAAGCAGTGCTCTCAGAGGAGACAAGGTGTGATAGAGCCACAGGCCAACTTAGATGCAGACTAAGATTTCTGGTCACCACCAACCCCCTCCTCCTTAGCACCAGCCATCACAGGCAGGTCCACAGCAGCTGGCAGCTATGTGGCCTCCTGTACCCTGTTCACCCCAGACAGCCTGGCTCCAATGGCATGGGATTATTACAGTGACATGCAATTATTCCACAGCGCACATGATACACAGGTGCCCTGTGTCCCAAGTCTCTGCAGACACAGACACCCAGACATGCATCACAGGACATACTTGTTTGGGGGCATCCGTGCAGGCTGTGTGAACTTCAGATTCTGGTGTACCGTCACACTCAAACACCACTGTGGGAAAAAAGGGTCTGTTAGCAGAGGGCTGGTATGTAGTGAGATGTCCACCCCGCCCACACCTGCTGTACTGACCACGCCCATTGGGGCATGCAGATTGGTGCGGGTGTGACCTGGGGGGACCCCAGCTCGCTCTTGCTTCCTGGTCGGAGACAGAGAGCATCGGGAGGCATCCTTGGGATGGGAACCTGCAGCGGTCATCTGTTTCTGGTGTGAGTGATTTCCCCCCCCCCCAAAAAAAATCCATCAGCCTGTCGTTCCCCAGATTCTTATTTACCACTCTATACTGGTGAAACTCCTGAGTGCAAATAAGAGGCCTTTAAGGATGAAGCTGTTTCGTGAGAAGACACCAGAGCCTGGCCTGGGAAAACACCCATTTCCCGTAACACTTGGAGTGAGAAACCTCAATCACGGATGCCCGGAGCCACAGGCCTTCCTAATTCAGGCTCCACGGTGAAGAAAGCAATCACTAGCAGCGTAAATTATCAGTGTGTGGGTAAAGGGACCTGTTTTCTGCTCTGCTGACTGCCTGACCTGTGTCCCTGACCATCCGGCTGGCTTCTGGGTATGTGCATGCCACACTGCTCGACCGTCTCCCTAAGGTTTGCTCTACTGTGACCCGCAGGGTAGCCCAAGCAGGACACAGGCCAGTTTTATACAGGGGCTGGAGGTTGATCAGAGGACGCCACTTATCAACCAAGGGGGTCCTGTACATATCCACAGCCAAGCTCTACCCATCAGGATGGAAGTCACCGAGTTTGAAGCTGGGAGAATAATGGTCTGGCTGCCACTGATGATGGCGACACCATTAACTCATTAGCATCTCAGTTTCTGACGGTCTACTCTAGTTGAAGGGGACATATATATGCGAACGGGTTTTTCTCAAACTAAACTACATGGCACGCCGATGCAAAAAAAAAAAAAAAAGTATGCCACATACTGAATAGGCAACTAAGGGTGACAGATAGGTGGCTGGCACAGTGCTCTGGCCAAGCTGAAACATATCTAAATATGTAACCATGAATGACGAGCAGGAAAGGCTATGTTTTGGTTAGTTGGCCTCAACCTAGAGACACTTGGAAGAAAGAATCTGACTGAGGAAAGCGCCTGGGGCAGAGAGCTCTGTGGGCATGTCTGTCGGCAGTATCTTGATCACTAATTGATATAGGAGGGCCTGGGCTAGCTACTGTGGACGGCATCATCCACAGACCGTCGTCTTGGGCTGTGTAAGAACGCTAACTAAGCATGAGCCTGTGAGTAAGCGAGCCAGAAAGCAGGCTGGCAAGGAGCATTCATTCCTTCATGGTCCCCGCCTTGAGCTCTTGCCCTGACTTCCCTCGGGGATGGAAAAGTGGCCTGGGAACATATGCCAAATAAACCCTTCCATCTCCAAGCTGTTTTTGGTTATGGCATTTGTCATGACACCAAAATGAGACCGGAACATACCCCCACTCCCATCCCCTCCCCGTCAAAAGCATACATGTACTTGGCACCGGCCAGTCGCACGGCACAGGACTAGGATACCTGTGTGTGCCCGAAGGTGAGCCCTGAGTTGGCTGGGCTGATGGAAACTCTTGCCGCACTCCACACAGACAAAGTCTCCCTGGCGGGCCTGTGTCCGCGGTGTCCCTGTTAGTCATGTGGCATAACGTGGACATGAGGGGAGGGGGAAGAGGAGGGAGAGAGGAAGACATCATTAGTCTATCTGGCACATCACTGTGAGAAGCCACCTCTGGGCCCTGGTGACAACTGTCAGCCTTGGCTTGGCTTGGCTGACAGGCCGGGCACACACCAGACTGCAAGGATGCATAAACTACAGTGAATTGAGCAAATGCTCCAGGGACAGGGCAGGAACAGGGTGGCACTGTGAGACTGTGTAGGGGCACACGGTTCCAAGCAGCTGATACACCACCCAGGTGTCGCCTGGCTCTATCAAGCAGTATAATAAACAAATCAGACTGGTACCGGTGTGACAGAGACGATGCCTGGAGGTAACAGGAAGTGACTAGGGACAGAGCCCGCTGTACCCACAGCGACAATCCCAGGAGACAGATGCAGAGCAACAGTCAGCAGCAGCCAGCCACCCCAGCTGTGACCTCCTACCTGCCCGCCAGGAGCTCTTCAACGCCAGCAAACAGCAGGCAGTAGCCCCCAGAGTAGGCTGTGCCATCAGCAAGGCAGGACAGAGCCAAAGGCACCTATAGACCTGAGCCTGGGTTCTGGGCCTCCCTCGGAGCCAAGAGCATCATGGGCTTTTGCCAGGAAAGGGACTTCCTCCTCCCTTTGTTCCTTCTCGCTTTTTCTGTAACATCTGCTGCAAGGAGCCTTCCTCCATGGTGTGTGACTCAACTGAACAGGAATACAAGCCATGCCTGTATGGCAAGAGGGTGCACACACCTCCAGGGCTGCCCCCTACGTCCCCATGGTCAACTGGTAGACACTGAATGAAACTGCATCCCATTCCTCATCGGGATGAGGGGGAAGCCGAGCTTGCAGTAAGACCGTGGACTGGGGCACTTCATTTCCTACACTTGCCGGAGACAGGCAGAGAACACTAAGAATTAATGAGAAGCCTCTGGCTAAGGCTCCCAGCCCAGCGCTCACGGTAGAAGGGGAGCCTGACGCATGGGAAAGAGAACAGGCGGTCAGGATGTGGTCACATGGCCTCTTTCTAAAACTCGATTTAGTGAGACATAGGCGTGAGCCTACAAGTATAGGGAAGCAAGGCAAAGCCATCAGACCTCTCCAGGCCACACAGTGGAAAAAAACACCCACAAGGTGGCAAGTCTGCCTGCAGGGCGAATGTGTGGGCCACGCATCCCATCAGACAGAGCCAACGCTGTGAGCATGGACGATCCTGGAGCCCGCGGAGATCAGCCACCCAAAACACTTCATCCAACCACACCAGAGACACCGAGTGATAGCAACAGTGCCAACTGATGCCCTACCCCAGCCGCCACCTCTACGTCACTCAGTCTCTCTCTAGCTATTATTGTCCACTTCCTATCCAAGCCTTCTACTCACGCGCTGACACACACAGCCCCCCCAACACACACACACACATCGACCACAGCACCTTGATTTCACTTTTTAACAAAGGACATCTGCAGTCCAGGGGGCCTCTGGCAGTGGAACCAGCATGTATCCCTAGAGCATGAACGACCTTTGGGAGCCCATTCCCCATGGAGGGATCCTCTCTCAGCCCAGACACACAGGGAAGGGCCTAGGCCCTGCCCCAAATGATGTGACACACTTTGACGATCCCGCAATGGAGGGCCTCACTCTCCCTGGGGAGTGGATGGGAGAAGGGTAGGATGGAAGGGAGAGGGAACGGGGATTGGTATGTAAAATAAGATTCTTTTAATTTAAATAAAAATTTATAATTGAAAAAAGGAAGGAAGGAAGGAAGGAAGGAAGGAAGGAAGGAAGGAAGGAAGGAAGGAAGGACATTTGCCCATTACAGACAATGATACCACACCCAGGCTGCTATAAAGTTCCCAGTTACTCAAAAATCTTCTATGTGAACGTAAGACTACCAGCAGCTCCAACATGTCTCCTCAGGTGTGGAGACAGGCTCTCCACAGTGAGTAAACAGCCTGGCCATGCACAGAGAGAAACAGGGTAGTGTTTCCCATCCTTACCATGTGACGTGTGGTCCTGTAAGGAGGAGGCCAAGGCTAGACGCTGCTCAAAACAATCAGATTCGTTTTTTAAGTTCCAATAAGGAAGCATGTGCTATCTAGAATTACCTAATTTCCCCATCTGAAATCCACATTATCATGTAATAGGGGCAGACTGGGGACACGGTGACGTTTCGTGACTACTGTATTAACAAACCACTTGTGTACACCCTGTGATTCCAGACTTGGAATCACTTTGTAGAAAGGCAGTGGACACAGCAGCAGCATTCATTGTGAGTCCTGGCCCCTAAGGCATCAACAGCTGTTCTCCTATGTTCTGCTGGAGAAGTGGGGGGGGGGCGCTACACAACCCAGTCCTACAAAAGCATCACCCAGACCAACCCAAATCAACAGCTACTGCCCATACGCACAGGGCATCAGCAACATGAAGGGTGAGGCTTTCAGAGCAGGCCATTTCCTCACTGTGGAGCGCCTCCTCCACAGCCTGGGGTGCGAGGAAACTTGTCAGAGCAGTTTGCTCCCAGGGTAGTCTCCCACTCAGAAGATACTTCTGATTAACTCAGAATTTTACAGCAACCCGAATGTGGTATCGCAAGCTGCCCAGCTCACCACAGAACACGCCGGCAGGTCAAGAGCCAGCCATCACAGAGATCACTGGCAGGTAACTAACTATTAAAGAGAGTCTAAGTCAGTCCCTAGAACATGGTGTGAACAACCGGGTCAGCTGCAGAAGGTCGGAACAACAAGGAAGGATGCCAGGAGCTAGACAGCCGTAACAGGTGGGTGTCCCTACTGTGGGCTCCAAGAAGACACTCGCCCCAAGAATGGAGACCGGCTTCCCACCCATAGCCAGCCATCCTGGAGCCTCACTCGGCAGGGAAATCTCCAAACAGCACAGCACAGCAGGCCCAAGAACCACTCACCACACAGCCAAGACTGAGGCAGAGAAGGGGGACCTCCCCAGCCACAGACAGCCCCAAATCAGGTAAAAACCAGACCAGAAATCGGCAGGCACAAAGCACTAGACTACCAACCCAGGTCCCCGCGGGTGCCAAGGCTTTGCAGCACAGACCTCTAACAGTATTGTCAATGTCCTACACCTGAGACACCAGGTTACAAAGGCAGCTACTCGGGCAGTAACTGCTTCAAGAGGCTCCGGGCTCATGACAAGCAAAGCTACTCCAGGAAAAGGTTAGGACCTCCAGGAACCAGCTGGCCCTGGAGGGAATGGGCCTGGTTTTGGGGGCAGACTCAAGTACCGAGGCTGGCCTTGCCTAGGAAGTCTTCCTGTCTCTTTGCTGTTGCTTTAACAGGCTCTACATTTCCCTGGCGGTGTGCACATTAAAGGGGGAGCGACCTTTGACCTACATTCAAGAACAGGGCCACCATTCAGAGCCACTGTACCCTGACTGGCAGGGGAAATGGGCAGGCGGGTCCTTGTGAGCCCTCCTGGCTACTGGTACTGCACATCCATGTGACAAACGCTCCAAACTCACAACCTCACTCACCGCACTCCTCAGTTCACGGACAAACGTATTTAAAATCACTGTCCCTCCCTCCCACCCACCCCCTACCGAGACCATCTCCAGACTCGGGCCCCATTCCCCAGATACTGTTGTTCAGGAACTATTCCGAAATCTCAAAAGATATCCAAAATCCAAAACCCACCCCGGCCCCAAGCACAAGAGATCCTAGAGCGGCACTGCTATTAGCTGTCGAGCACGATACAGAAGCGGGGACAGAAACACCATTAAGTGAGGATCCCAGGGACAGTTCAGTCTTCCAGGCTCTGCGCATACATCCCTCGCCAGCCACACCCCGCCTGCTTGGTATTGCTTATGCATCCTTTGCATTATTTAAACATAAGACATAGTAATCCCTTCTAATGGGACAGTTCCTCTTTCAGGAAGGGGTCACAGTGAATGTGTACTAACGCCTTGTTTAAAGTAGCAACATGAAGTGTCTGCTCCTGTCAGGTTGAGGCATTTCAGAGTAAACAAGCCGGTTTCTAATTTAATGTCCACGGGAAGGGCACAGTAAAAGATGGCTGACATCCGACCCAGACACACCGACCCAAGGGAGAATGGTTGAGCTCCGGGTTAGCCAGGTCAAGAACACCTCTCTGCCCTGAAAGCCTCAGGGAGCAGGAAGGTCTGCACACCCGTGACCTTCAGAGCAGCCAGGGAGGAGGGAAGCCCGTCCTTCTTACCTCTGTGCTCAGGCCCGGGGCCGCTGACACCCCAGCCCTGGTAGAGTGTGGCGAAGTCCTTTGGAATGTACGTCTTAAAGATACTGAGGATGTCCAAGCGTTTCTCCTGCCCCTCAGCTGCCGGCTCCTGCTTGATGGAGTGTAAGATGGGGGACGCACCAGGTGAGGTCTGCAAGGCTGCGTCCCCTCTGGACCCCGCTGCACAGGTGGCTAGTGCTGTGAGCTCCTGGGCCGCCTTCACAGGGGGTTCCCGGGGAGGTAGAGGAGAGCCTCCTTCGCCTTTCGTGGGAGGCTGACCCTGAGGCTGAGGACTGAATTTGGCTTTCAGAGAGTCTGGGGCACTGTGCTTATTCGGAGGGGCAAAGCCAGCCCCCGCTGCAGGGGCCCCGAGTTTCTCCACCGGCTTGCTATTGGCTGAGGGCTGGGCACCCACACGGGTGATAACCGACGGGGTGGGGGTGGCACTTCTGCTGAGGCCCCCACTGCCTGGGGAAGGCGCCAACTTGGAGCCGGCCTCCTGTTTGGGTTTGGCCAAGGGTCCCTGCACGCCAGCACTGGGAGACTCCTGGCCATGGCCAGCCCTGGCCTGTCGGTATCCATCGGGGCCGGAGGCCCACAGAGCACAGGGGCCCCCAGAATGGCTCTCCTTATTCTTAGGCATGCTAGCGGCTTTTGTGGTCACCCCAAGGGGGGAAGAGCTGCCCTTTGACCCGGGTGCCCCACCTGGCACCTGGGTGCGGGTAAAGCGGGCCAGGAGCAGTGGCTGGCACTCCTTGCCTGCAAGAGCAGGTGGAGGACCCGTACGCCCGCTGCGAGCAAGGAAAACCAGGCTGCTGCGGATGCTCCTGTGGCCGTTAGGCTGAGTCCAAGGGGGCGCTGCAGAGCTGCAGCTGACCCTGTGCCAGATGCGCGTGTGCATCCACAGGACCTCGGGGTAGTAGGTCTTGTGGTTACAGTAAGGACACGGGTGAATGACCAGGGCCGCCTGCAGGGAGCATGCGTCCTTACTGCTGGGGTCATCCCGGCTTGGCCTCATACTCAAGTCCAGTGGGACCAGGTCAGGGGCGGACGGCCGCTTCCCTGCCCCACAGTGCTCCTTGTGCAAAGCGGACAGCTTTTCTTTCGAATGCCCAGCCTGGCTGTCCAAGGTGAGCTGCAGGCTAGTTATTTCCGCGCTCGAAGGGAAGTCTACCCGGCCAACAGAGCTGGGCCCCTCCTGCTTGGGGTGAAATGCCGGCATCTTTAGGTCAAGAGAAAATCTATGCTGCTCGGGACCCTCGGCCGTCTCTCTGCTGCTGTTGTCAAGTATGGACACGGATGGCGTGGCGATCCCCACCTTGGGCTCACTGACGTGTTTCTCTGGCAGGTTATTTCCAAGTGTGTGGCTCTGGTCCCCGTTGGAGAGCACGGTGGGTACCACCTGTCCAGAAGAGCAGCAGTGCCGTGGCTGGCCCCCTGCAGGATGCAAAATGTAAAAGGGGACGTTAACCACACTTCTCATGGGAACAGGGTAAGACACGGGCATCGAGAAGCTAGACAGGCATCCCAGGAGGTGCCTGCCTCACATCAGGGCCAGGGCTTGGCATCAGCAAGAAAGGTGTTTGGGATTGGGTCAGGAGTGTACCACACAGAGGGAGGTAATACTCTACTAGGGAAGCTGTCAGTTTTCAATCAACTGAAATGACCCAAAAGATGGGTGAAGAGGTCACACTTGCATCTTGTTACACGTAAATACACCGCCACTACTGATTAAAGAGAAGGCGGCCATTGGTCCTGCCTCAACGAGATGATGGGACAGACTTAGTAGAGGCCTTACCCTCTCCGTGGAGCAGATGGGAAGAGAGGAGCAGAAGGAGAGAAGGGAGAACTGGGATTGGAGTGTAAAAATAAATTAACAAAAAAATAAAAGCTTTACTACCCACCCACCCACCCACCCCAAAAAAAAGAAAAAGAAATTGAGGGCCAGCAAGGGGGCTCACTGGGTAAAGGCACTTGGCACTTGCTGCCAAGCCTGCAGATAGGAGTTTGACCCCCAGATCCCACACGGTGAACAGAAAGGGGGGCCCTGACTCCCACAAGTCAGCCTCTGGCCTCCAAGTGCAGGGCGTAGCATGCCATGCAGTCCCACATGCAGGCACAACCTTAATAAAATCTTAAAAGACATTGGGAAAAGAGCATAACTGCAATCGCATGGTGCTTTCCATGCTCTAGAACTCTCTGCAAGGCACTGATGCAATCCAGGGTCACCACAAAGCATTTTGTGGAGAAAGACACTAGTCAGGGTGAGTACAGATGGCGCCCAGGACCCCGGTGTCCACCTCAGAAACTGGGGCTACACAGAAACTTCACCCTAGCCTTTGGAACCCTCGCCATCATGAAGGCCAATTCTCAGCTCTAATATCTCCACCCTACGTCCCCTTCTAAGAAAGCCTGTGCGCGTGCACGTGGCTGCATCACGCCGGGTAGTTCTACAATGTCACCTACATGTCACCAGACAACCGAGGGGACCCTAGGTGTAGCACTAATCTTGGACTACTAAACGGGGTGGGGGGTTCAGGGTTGCAGGTGGGTGTGGATGGGAGGGTGGTCTTTGGGCTCCAGCCCCCTCACCTAGGAAGGAGCACATGCTGGCTGTTCCAACCCCTCACCCTCCCCACCCCACCCCCATGGTAAGGGCTAGACTACTCCGTGGTCAGTTCTACAGGTGGACAGACAGGGCATAGCTCAGCAAAGTCTCCTTCAAGTTTGTACTGATGCCCTGGGTTTATTCAGACCTGGGTGTGAACCTGGGACAGGACACGCAGTACAGACCGAGATGTCAGGAGTCACTGGTGAGAGGGTCAAGGGTTTTCCGAGACTCCAGAGGTTTGAATATCTGTTGGAATTTGGGTACTGACTGACTCGGTTCTTCTAAAATGTTCTCTGCATGTTTCTAGAGATACGACTTGGCAATGTTACCAGAAAGACTATTTCAAAGGACTCTTTGTTGGGCCAGAAAGCACCTATCCCAGAAGGCATCCTGAGAGGAGGAGCAGAGATAACACTCTCTTCCAGGCGAAGGGGACTAGCAGGCTCTCGGGCGTGATTCCAAAAGCACAGTCTCCTAACAGCCCGCAGGGAGAGGTAGGAGTTGGGAAGGTGGGGGCTGCTGAAAGCTGGCTGAAGGCTGCTGAGTGCCGGGCGCTGGTCTGTTTGAGCCCAAGCTACAGTGACTCAGAACCTACTCTGCAGACACCATGGTCATGGTCTTGAATGTAGACACCAGCAGAGTTTGGGTAAAAAGGAAGAGAGGGGACTGAGTGAGTGTGACCGTGCTTCTTAGCAGTAATGGCAGACCCACACCACGGAACTGCGCTGGAAGGGAGCTGGCCTTCCTCACCACATCCAGAAACCACACCTCCTCTCAAGGATGCCAGGGTCACGGCTCCTGGGGGGGGGGGGGACCATGAAGAGCTGCCTGAATCGGGCCACTCTGGATAGAAAGGTGTGAGCCAAGTCTGATCTTTCTCCTCTAGGTTGCTTTCCATCAGGGCGTTCTATCACAGCAACAGAAATTAAACGGCAACGATGCAGTTCTGAATTTTTCAATTTTTTTTTTCCCTTCCAGGGGAAAAGCAAGAACCTGACATTTTTACATTTTCAATCTGGGGCTTCTCCCTTGAAAGAAGTGTCTGTTATGTAGCCAAACACTTCTGAACAGATTACTGGGCAAGTTCGGCGATTTGGCTCCACCCACAACACAGTCCTCTTTTCCATCCTCAGGACAAGGGAGGAGAAAACTGCAAGAGTCTGTCACAGCCCTGAGGCTCAAGCTCGGTGCAGGAGCAGACCACAGGGTCAGCAGCTCCAGCTCACCCACAGTGTCACTGCAGATCAGGGTGACTGGATCTGCACCAGACTGGATCCAACCCTGCAGGAAGGGTTTGAAAGCCACAGGTTCCCAAGCAGGAGGAGTCTAGCCTCCCTTCTCAGCTCTGTGCTGCTGAGCTGTCTCCATGACGACAGAACAAACAGAGGCCCCTAAGTGGGTTACAGGGTGTATTTGTGTACTGAGTCCTTGACACAGATGTGGACTTGGCTTGCCAGATACCTCGAATGGCCAAGGCTGGAACAGTTTAGAGTACTGGGTGCTGTGGCTAACAGACATATCAGCACAGATAAAAGCACACTGGCACCTGGCAGGCTTTCCTGAGAAAGCAAACCGGGTCATCTGATGCACCTCGGCAGTCTACTCTCTGAGATACAAACAGTTTCTAAGTGCTGCACCCTGGGTTTGGAAACGTATTATAGGAGCCCATGTACACCGTGCCTCCCTTCATGAGAGGGCTCAAAGGTGAGGAGGCAGAGGAAAGCCTCAACAGTCTTGGAGTCAAGGACAATGTGGCTGGCTCGGTAAGGCCAGCTGAGGTATGTTGATGTCTCCTTACACGAGGAGGGAGGATGGAATGGTGTCTACACACACAGACGCCAACAGCACAGTCAACTGTGGCCACCACAGCAGGGGCAAAGGCCAGTGCTTTCACTGGAAAGTGACAGGTAAAACTAAAGAAGGGAAATGAAGTAACGGGTGTGGGCCATGTGAACGGCTCTGGGTTCCAAGGAGGCCACAAGGCCCCTGCCCTGTGGTTCAGATCAAGTGAAAAGCATTTGGGCCACAATCCTGGAGGACACAATCCCAAACATCAAAACCTCAAACAGTGAAATCCAAATATCAGAATCTCTAAGGTATAAAACTCCTAACTCCTTAAAATTCTGACACCAATCAAACCCTGGGTTAAAAACACAAACTTCCGAGGTCCAGTGAGACGGCTCGGTGTTAGGGAAGGGTCCTTTGTAGCCACAGATCGTCCTGAGTTCAATCCCCAGGTCCCACGTGGCGGAAGGAAAGAACTAACCCCGTAAAGTTGTCCTCTGACCTCTACGTGTGAGCTCCATAGCTGTGGACAGACCCGTGTCCACACATGGGAGTGCACACACACGCTTGAAAATCCTAAAAACAAAACTGCCAAAAAGACATTCTACACCCTTAAAGGAGAATTTATTTGAGACCTACAAAAACATGAGGGAACACTTCATAGAGCACTTTATACACTACAGCAAGTCATGGGTATGTGTGTATTCAGAAGCATAAACATCACAGTACACAAAAAGAAAAAAAAAAAAAAAAAAAAAAAAAAAAAAGCAAAGCTATGAGCAGTTGGAATGCGTTCATTAAGAAGTAAATGTGAAATTGTAGCGCGTGGTTCCCCACAGCGGTCAGCACCACATCTGTCGGCAGCTGCCAGCAACCATGTCCGATGAGACAGAGGTGCTAACGAAAGAGACCAGCGTGCAGCCCTTCCTTCATTCCCCAAGCGTCAGCCAAGCCCCTTCGTGCACGCCGATGTGCACACGGCGAAGTTTCGCAGTGACGCAGTTTTACAACTTTTGCAAAACTGAGTAAAACAAACATGAACTCCATGCAGGTCTTCATAGGATTTAGGGATCCAGCAATGGAAATCATAGGAAGATGAACACACCGCATGGTGAGTTAACTACTTAAAAAGAATGTTGACAAATGAAAATCACCAGGGAAAAACTAAAAAACGACGAAACAAAAAAAAAAAATACAAAAGAAAAAGAAGAAGAAGAAGAAGAAGAAGAAGAAGAAAGCTATGGAGAATATCTAATCTGTAAATCAGTAGAGTGGATTCCGGGTGGTCCCACCACAGAGTCACGAAAAGCTGGCCAATTCCTACTGTATCTGAATTCTGGAGTATCCATCAGGAGTTTTATCGCTTCAAGATCCAGGCTCGGCTCGGAAGGCAGACTCATATATATACCACTCAGCCCTTGCGGAGTCACTGTTGATAAATGAAGACTGGCAGACACTGCCCTCCATCCTGGCCTCTACACTGTCTAGGGCCAATGGCATGTAGCCCTGCCTTTCTACTGGCAGTCACTGAGGGTCCTGGTACTCCTGATAACACACACCTGCTAAGTAATCTATAAAAGGACAGGCATGCAAAGGTGAGCCTCCAAACTGTGTGTTCACACCTAGACACTGGCTGCAGCCACAGATTTCCAGAGCAGGTGTGGTCCATCTGGAGTCTGGCCCTGCTCAACCACTACAATTACATGCATTTCTGCTTTTGGAATACTGATGAGAATAGACCTTTAAACTTCCATCGCCCATCAGGAAGTACTTGCCCCACTGCACATGAACAGCTGGGCCTCAGAGAGCTCTGTCCCAGGAAGAGGCAGTTTCAGAACCCTAGCATCAAGGAGTGCCACCCTTAGGAGGTGACTTGGGATTTTAAGATGGGAGTTTGGACACTGGGGTCTATGGTGGCTTAGATGAGAATGCCCCTGTAAGGAACACTAGCAAGCATTAGAAAGACCAGAACTGCTAAATACGCAGGCATTCTTCTCCAAGAGAAGAAAGGACTGGCAGCTGTGCGTGTAGAAGGCTAGTC